GAGAGTTCCAGACATTTTTACTGGGGGCATTTCTTCAATATTTTTATGTTACATTTAAAATTTTTAAATACAAGAATTATCAAGGAAGATATAAGTGTACAGCATTAAAGCATACAGAATAAAAGATTAGTCCTAGCTTCTTCCCAAGGAGGGAAAAAAAACCAAAGAATAACACATCTCTCAAGATTGCCGGGAAAAATAAATCAATAACCTCAGATGTGCACGTGACACCACCCTTATGGCAGAAAGTGAAGAAGAATTAAAGAACCTCTTGATGAAAGTGAAAGAGGAGAGTGACAAAGTTGTCTTAAAGCTCAACATTGAGAAAACTAAGATCATGGCATCCGGTCCCATCACTTCATCGTGGCAAATAGATTGGGAAACAGTGGCTGACTTTATTTTTCTGGGCTCCAGAATCACTGCGGATGGTGATTGCAGCCATGAAATTAAAAACGCTTGCTCCTTGGAAGGAAAGTTATGACCAACCTAGACAGCATATTAAAAATCAGAGACAATACTTTGTCAACAAAGGTTCGTCTAGTCAAGGCTATGGTTATTCCAGTAGTCATATATGGATGTGAGAGCTGGACTGTAAAGAAAGCTGAGCTCCGAAGAATTGATGCTTTTGAACTGTGGTGTTGGAGAAGACTCTTGAGAGTCCCTTGGACTGCAAGGAGATCCAACCAGTCCATCCTAAAGGAGATCAGTCCCGGGTGTTCATTGGAGGGATTGATATTGAAGCTGAAACTCCAGTAGTTTGGCCACCTGATGCAAAGAGCTGACTCATTTGAAAAGACCCTGATGCTAGGAAAGATTGAGGGCAGGAGGAGAAGGGGATGACAGAGGATGAGATGGTTGGGTGGCATCACTGACACAATAAACATGGGTTTGGGTGGACTCCGGGAGTTGGTGATGGACAGGGAGGCCTGGTGTGCTGCGGTTCATGGGATCGCAAAGAGTTGGACACGACTGAGCAACTGAACTGAACTGCTGCTGCTGCTGCTGCTAAGTCGCTTCAGTCGTGTCCGACTCTGTGCAGCCCCATAGATGGCAGCCCACCAGGCTCCCCCGTCCCTGGGATTCTCCAGGCAAGAATACTTGAGTGGGTTGCCATTTCCTTCTCCAGTGCATGAAAGTGAAAAGTAAAAGTGAAGTCGCTCAGTTGTGTCCGATTCGTAGCAACCCCTGGGCTGCAGCCTGCTGGGCTTCTCCGTCCATGGGATTTTCCAGGCAAGAGTACTGGAGTGGGGTGCCATGGCCTTCTCCGAACTGAACTGTAAGACTTCTATTATAGGGCTTCCCGGATAGCTCAATTGGTAACGAATCCACCTGCAATGCAGGAGGCCCTGGTTCGATTCCTGGGTTGGGAAGATGGGGAAGGGATAGGCTACCCACTCCAGTATTCTTGGTCTTCCCTTGTGGCTCAGCTGGTAAAGAATTCACCTGCAGTACCGGAGACCTGGGTTCGATCCCTGGATTGGGAAGATCCCCTGAAGGCTACCCACTCCAGTATTCTGGCCTGGAGAATTCCATGGACTGTATAGTCCATGGGTTTGAAGAGAGTCAGACACGACTGAATGACTTTCACTTTCATGCTATTATAAAATCACAATGGATAAAATATCCATTCAAAGTGCAGAATGGACCAGTGGATGGGTGTTCATGTAACAACAAATACAGAAGGTCCTCTGTGTCGTTTTCAGATTGCACACTACAGCCTCCTATTCAGAAACTCTCACTGATATGAAATGTGAATATCCATCATTACCTTAAAGTCTTTCTAAAGTAACTCCTCTCCTTTTCAAATAATGTGTGTGGGAAAAAAATGAAATAATAAAACAGATTGAAAGCTTCTTCTTGATTCGCCCTCCTACCCCCCACCCCTTGGTCGTGAATGTTGGATTTTGTCAGAGGCCTTTTCAGGGTCTATGAATTTAATCTCTGAATTTTCTTTTTTCTCCTAGTTTTACTAGTATATAACTCTTATATAATGGCTTTCCTAATACACCACTTTTGGAAATAAACCACCTTTTCATGGTGTATTTGTGTGATGTAGGCTTTTAAAAATGGTGTCAGGCTGTCCTATTTGGAGGGGGCTCTGTCTTGATCATGAGGAGTCATTATCACATTTAGATGTCAGTGTTGTTATTGCTTCTTGAGAAGAGTTCAGAAATCTCCCTTTAATGTTAGAATGCTCTGGAACGATTCATGGAGCACCAGGGCTCTCTGGACATTGATGTGTTGGTGGAATTCCCCTGTGAAATATCTGTGCCTGGTATTTTTTGTGAGATAATTCCCTCATAACTATCTCTGTTTCCTCTCCAGAAACTGGTTTATTTAAACTTAATTTCTAATAGAGTCAGTTTCAATAATCTATATTTCCTTAGAAAATTTCCATTATCTAAGTTATCCCATTCATTTGAATTTGTTCTGTAGTCTCTTATGTTTTCTAGTTGTGTGCTAATAGTTGTTTTCTTTCTAACCATTTCCTGTTTTATTTATTTTTGAAATTTGAGCCCTGTGTCTAGCTGTTTTGAAATTTGGATATTCCCTTTTTTTTGAATTATACCAAAGGTGTGGTTTTGTGTAGTGATTTGCTTTGTGTTATTTTGGAGACATAGATTCAGGCAGTTGCCTTTACTTCGGCCACCCAGATGTTTCTCTGTTTTTTGCATTAGCCCTTTTTTGGGGGGTGGGGAGGGCTGTAGGTTTACTGCAATGTAATTCACATATTATTCAATTCACCCTTTAAAATGCATAATTTAGTGACTTTTTAGTTTAGTCACAGAGCTGTAGGACCATCACCAGTCACTTGTCAAACATTTCATTCCCCTAAAGAGAAATAATGTACTCATAAGCCATTCTTTCCCCATCTCTCCACCCGCCTCAGTTCAGTTCAGTTGCTCAGTCGTGTCCGACTCTTGCGACCCCATGAATCGCAGCATGCCAGCCCTCCCTGTCCATCACCAACTCCCATAGTCCACTCAAACTCATGTCCATCGAGTCGGTGATGCCATCCAGCCATCTCATCCTCTGTCGTCCCCTTCTCCCCCTGCCCCCAATCCCTCCCAGCATCAGGGTCTTTTCCAGTGAGTCAACTCTTCTCATGAGGTGGCCAAAGTACTGGAGTTTCAGCTTCAGCATTAGTCCTTCCAATGAACATCCAGGACTGATCTCCTTTAGGATGGACTGGTTCCATCTCCTTGCAGTCCAAGGGACTCTCAAGAGTCTTCTCCAACACTGCAGTTCAAAAGCATCAATTTTTCGGCACTCAGCTTTCTTCACAGTCCAACTCTCATCCATACATGACCACTGGAAAGTGAAAGAGGAGAGTGAAAAAGTTGGCTTAAAGCTCAACGTTCAGAAAACTAAGATCATGGCATCTGGTCTCATCACTTCATGGGAAACAGATGGGGAAACAGTGGAAACAGTGTCAGACTTAATTTTTTTGGGCCCCATAATCACTGCAGATGGTGATTCCAGCCATGAAATTAAAAGACGCTTACTCCTTGGAGGGAAAGTTATGACCAACCTAGATAGCATATTAAAAAGCAGAGACATTACTTTGCCAACAAAGGTCCATTCCACTGGCCCTTAGCAAATCACCAGTCTACTTTTTCTTTAACATGTTGGTCTTTTTTGAAAATCTCATATAAGAGCAATTGTATGATATGCATGTGGTCTTTTGTAGTTGGTTTCCATTAGATAGCATTGTTTTCCAGGTTCCCCATCTTGTAGCACATATCAACACTATACTCCTTTGTATTGTAGATAAGAGTTTACTTTATGGATAGACCATGTCCATCAGTTGATGGGCATTTGGGTTGTTTCCCTTTCTGGATGTTAGAGATGCTGCTGTGTGTGGCTGTGAATGTCTCTGTGTGCATGCGTATTCATTTCTCTTGGGAGTACACCTGGGAGTGGAATTGCTGGTGTTTATTCCTCTTTGAAGAAGAGTTTTCCCCTTCTTCCTCCTCCTCGGCTGTTTCAGTAGACTCTGGCGTGCAAGAGGTCACGATGGACCCCTCTCTGGTGGACATCGTCGTCGTCTTGTGGGCAGGACGGCTATGGAAGAACATGACACCTTTGTCCTCAGGTGGTCTGAGTTGTGGAGCACAGAAGGACATTATATGAACATGTGGCCCCTGACTCACTGATTCTGGAGCCCTTGGAAAATGCTGGGTGTTTGCTTAGATGACTCTGAGTACTTCACTCATTTCCTTTCTAGCAAATGTGTGGCTTTCTTGGATATCAGGCAGTTTTTAAATAACTTGGAACTATTTTGACTTTTCTCTGTGCTGGACCTTCTTTAGTCATGGTAAAGATTTTCAGCTTATTTAGAAGTTATTAATTCATTATAATTTTATTTAATTAGAAATGTAATAATTAAACATGCTTGATATATATATAAATAAACATGCTTGAAAGTTAATGGACTTTCTGTTGAATACAGTGTACAAAGACATTATAGTGTATTATTTTAATAGAGATTCATCCATGGCTAATTCATTTCAATGTATTACAAAAACCACTGCAATGATGTAAAGTAATTAGCCTCCAACTAATAAAAATAAGTGAAAAAAAAATAGAGATTCTTAGTGTAAGTGAAGGAAGTTGATTTTCACATCTACTGGTATTTTATTATATAAAAATAGCTTCTGATGTATATGCTTATTAAAACTGTCATTCTATGAATTGTTTGCCAGTGTTTGCAGTGTTTGTGGGGCACTACCAATTCCCTCAGGAAACTTTCTGATAAGCAAAAAGGCACTGAGAATTTCAGTGTTGAGAATTTTTAAGTGTGTTCTGGTTCTTAACATTGGCGTGGTTGGCAGTTTTCAGTTTTCTGTTCCACCCAGCATTACATTCATTAAGAGCTGCGTTCCCATATCAGAATATCTCATCCTCATGCGTGTCTGGACAAGTGAGGAGTGTTTTGTGTAGGACTGATTGTAGAGGATGTCCTGATAATGACATTTTACTCTTAATTGTTACTTCAGGCTCCTGGATTTGGATTTGGAATTGCAATATCTGGTGGAAGAGATAATCCACATTTCCAGAGTGGGGAAACCTCCATCGTGATATCAGACGTGCTGAAGGGGGGGCCTGCAGAAGGACAGCTGCAGTAAGTGTGGTTCTTTCTCCTCGTGGGCACAGGTCACGGGGACTCTCCTGCCCTCTGCCACCAGCATGTCATGCTAGTGATGGCTCTAAATTAATACGTGTTTATGCTTATCTGTCATAAATGGAAAGCTAGTTTCACTTACCGTAAGTAGGTCACTGTAAAAAATAAAGATAGTGAAAAGAAAACTTGTTACTCAGTTTGGAATAGAATCTAGTCTTCAGGAGCTGCTCACCAAGAATCTTACCATTTCTTGTTGAGCAGAAAGATTAGCAAGATAGAAGAGAGGCAGAAAATGCACTTGCAAAAACATGAGTATGATTAGGAGGACTGAAAGAAAACTGGAAGGAGAAAGGCTTTATCTTTAAAGATAGAATAATTTTTTCCAGACTTATGACCTAGTATCATTGGATGCATGTAACTTACCAGTAGAAGTCATCTTGTGTGCTGTACTACTTGATCAGGGTTTCCTAGGTGGATCAAGTGGTAAAGATTCCGCCTGTGAATGCAGGAGACCCAGGTTCGATCCGTGAGTCAGGAAGATCCCCTGGAGATGGGAATGGCAATCCACTCCAGTATTCTTGCCTGGGAAATCCCATGGACAGAGGATTCTGGCGGGCTACAGTCAGTGGATTGCAAAGAGTTGGATATGACTTGGCCACTGACCAACAACAGCAGTATACCTATTCAATCCTTTTAGGAACCTTTGTATTAATAGGTAAATATAAATGACCTGTGGTTAGTTACTTGGTAAACATTTCTTGTGGGCTAACTGAAAGAAAATAGTTGTACATTTTTATAATTATTGATCTGAAGATAGATTAATTAGCCCATAATGGGAATATCTTTTAAAAATCCTATCTTGAAAACACCTTTATAAACTTATCTGTGTGATTTTGTTTAACATGTTGTTTTGATCATTTTTTTGCTCTAGGGAAAATGACCGAGTGGCAATGGTTAATGGCGTCTCCATGGATAATGTTGAGCATGCATTTGCTGTTCAGCAACTAAGGAAAAGTGGGAAAAATGCAAAAATTGTAAGTGTTTTTACCTCTGACTTTATAAAGGTACCAGCTGTACTGTTGATATGTTTTTGGTGTTTGATTTCATTCTTCCCATTTAAGAAAATAAACTCTGGGACAGTAGTTCAAGGTTAGTTATTTACCCATACCGCACCTCTTCTGATACTGGTGGTATGTTTTGTCACTAGTGTGTATTTTCTCAAAGCTCAGATTCCAGGATTTTTTTGATTATAGAGGAAGGGAGGAATTCCTGTTTAAATAGTTACTACTTTATGGCTTAATATTTCCTTTTTTAAAAAACACTTAGATGGAATCTTGACATATAATCAGTTTAGTCTATAGCCCTATTTTTCTCTTACAGAATTTGTTTAATGGGTAAATTTTATGTCATCCCTTAAACACATACAATGTTGCTACCTTGTTACTGTGATACATTTTGAGGAAAGAGGGTTGTAAGGGTTGTTTTGTTCCAGTTGTTCAGGGTACTTTTGTTGTTTTTTCATATGTTTGCTAGGCTCTTACTTCATATTTAAGAAGTTGTTTTTTTCCCGTTTTTCTTGTTTTTAGTAAGAGACAAAGTTCAGTAATCTCTCAGTAACTGGCCTCAAACCACAGTTAAAACTAGGCAGTTGTGACAGAGAATGGATTTAATGTTAAAATCCTACTTTAAAAAAATTATATCTACATAGAGACTTCCCTGGCTGTTCAGTGGCTAGGTCTCTGTGCTTCCACTGCAGGGCATGGGTTCAGTCCCTGGTCTGAGAACTAGATACCTGCACGCATGTGGCCACAAAAATATATACATGTTTATTTCTACATAGAGGAGCACCTTAGCTGCTTCGCTGCCCCGTTTCTTCTTCATCTAAACTCTGAAATGCCTGATTGAGGTTCTATGAGGCCTTGGCTCCTGTGTATGGAGCAGAAGGCAGAGACTGTCCTGCCCTGTCCCTTGAGAATCTTCTGCTTTGCAGCAGACTGGCTGAACCACAGTGGACCCAGCAGAGAGGAGAGAGCTGGAGTGAGGAGGCCTGCCTTGGTATGACCTCTGGGAGTTATGCCGAGAGCCAGAGGGGTGCTTCCTGAGACTGCCCTCACCCCCAGTCGGAGGCCCTCTCACTGGGTGCAGGCTGCCATGTCCACTGGTGTGGACACTCTGCAGCAGTGTCCCTACTTTTCTCATTGCAGCGCTCCCAGTGTTCAGTTACCGCATTCCAAATGACAGGCAGCTTCTAATGTGCTGGTGTTTTCACAGCTTTCATTGTAGTTGTGTTTTTACAGCTGTAACTCTGATGTTGTCTTAAAGTGTGGTTCATGTGCAGACTGGCTAGTTGATGGTAGAGTTTTTTCACAGTTTTTATAACATGAGATTGTGGTGTTTACAGAAGCAAATTGCTAATTTTTGTAACTGTTGGTTTTTATAAATTGAGTAAGTGTTCTTTGGTTGTGTTGCTGCATATTCCAGTTGAGTACCTTAGATAAAATGAATTTTTCCTCCTGTACCTGAAGTTATGGGCTTTAGCTCCAACTTCATTCTTCTGGAATATGGAACTGGTTTGTTTTTTCATGCAGAATGTTTAGTATGTATGCGCCACATCAATAATACATCCAGGAAAATTGTTACCTGTACTCCAGACTTTCTCACCATAGAAATGATTTGTAAGAAGCAATGATTTTCTATTATGTATTTGAAACAGCACATGTACGAAGCAGCCTGAGTTTTCCTCTCACTGTGCTTGGCTGCATAATTTGGGAAGGTGGACTTAAGGTTAGGCAAGTATTTTTGCTCTTCAGGGAGAAGCTGTAGAGGGTTGGTTGGAATTCTGTTCAGTCAGCAAAGGGTAGTTGTTCACTTCTGCATCTAAAGAGAGTAGATCATGTCATCTGTTGATGCCAAGTTTTTCATCACTGTTTGAGGATAAAACCATAGTATCTTACAATGTGGCCTTTCATTGTAGGATGTCTTTACCTCCAGCCATAACAAGAACCTCAGATCTTATATATGCTCCCCACCCCTGCCCAGTTCTGAGTAACCAGCTTCTTCCCTCCTGCTTTCTGATCTACTAGTCTTCCTTCTTCCCTGTTCTCTTACATATTTATGGTTGTCAGTTTATATCTTTCCATAAACTAAGACCACACCCCCCCTCCCCCCCCGGGTGTTAGGCTCAGTAAATTTCTTTTCCACTGAATTAAAATCTTAGAACTCCTTTGATAATATAACTACCATAAATGGGCTTCATTTTGTTTAACAGTAGGTGAAGAGAAGATAGAAAAAGTTTATAGCGTACTGAACATGTATAATTTTTACTAAAATTTTGAACATACCAAAAAAAGCATTATGAAGTGAATGGGCAGAAACTTTCCAGAGATGAGCTATGTGAATGCTCAACTGAGTGTGTGAATGCATGGCTGTGTAGTGTCTCAGTGTGTGCACACCTCACTCTTCCTCCCCTGCTTGCTCATGGGCATTTAAGTGTCCAGCTCCCACAGATATTTTTTAAAAATTGTGTTAAGGATCGTCATCTTCTACCTGCTTGTTCAGTTCCTTTTCTTGGGAGTGGCTTTTTGGAGTCAGGTGGCATGAATGACTTGAGGTACGTGGGTTGCTGTTTTGCCAGTCAGAGAACCAGTAAGGTTTTGAGAGAGTCCAATTTCATCAGCCCTTGACGTCTCTGCCAAACTGATGGACTAAACTTATGTCAAAGAGGAGTCTTATCTTTTTTTTTTTTTTTGGCTGTGCTTGATCTTCATTGCTGCACTGGCTTTTCTCTAGTTGGGGCGAGTGGAAGCTACTCCAGTTGTGGGGCCCAGGTTTCTCATTGCAGTGGCTTCTCTTGTGTCAAATGAGGATTTTTAAGTTACAGGTGGATTTGATCATCATGTGGTGTGTATACTTCCCATGATGTTTCTTTGCCTGTTCCTGTCCTTTGCCCTGCCATTGTGATGCTGTCACACTAGTGTCTCTATATTAAGGTGATTAGCCTTTTGTTGTATATCCAACATATGTTGTTTTTCCAATTATTTTTTGAGTGTGTGTAAGTTTATGGTATTTTTTGGTTTCTTTTTCTGTTACCTTGTTTCATCATGAAATGTTTTCATTTTTATCCTGTCATATCTGTCAGACTTTTACTTGACTCTGCCTTTGGTGCTTACAGAAGTCTAAGCCTTTGGTGCTTAGCAGAGTTATAAAAGTGTGTATCTTGTGTTTTATTCTGGTACCTATGTGATTTCATTATTTTATTTTATATTTGAATCTTTTATTCAGCTAAGCTGTTTTGAAGTAAGCATTTTCTCCCAATTTTTGTGTCAAAATTTTCAGAGTTGGGACTTACTGGCAATTCAGTGATTAAGGCTTGTTAGCCTTCCAGTGCAGGGGGCGAGGAAGGGGTCAGTCCTTGGTCAGGGAGCTAAGATGCCACATGCCTCGAAACCATGAAACCAAATCATAAAACAGAAGCAAGACTGTAACAAATTCAGTGAAGATTTGAAAAGTGGTCCTCACAAAAAAAAAAAAAAAAAAACCTGAGAAAATACTTGTGTTAAAATCAGGCATTATCAGCAAGCCTTTGTGGGTTTATTCATAGTATAAATGGAGAATCATAGCAGGATTGGATATTTTTCAGTGAGTTAAACACTTACTGGGTGCAAATACTTCTCAGGGAACTTGAATTTCAGCATGCTCCATGGGGAGGTACACACAGTCATCAGCATAATGCACATAACCAGAGATGGAGAGGGCTGCAAGCATAGATTTCAGAGGAGTGGTGTATACTCAGTGTCCTGGGGGAATGATAGGGAAAGCTTTGAGGACTCCGTTGGTTACTTTGTTTTTGTTTATACCGTGTGTGTGTGTGTGTGTGTGTGTGTGTGTATGTGTGTGTGTGTACGTGTGCGCTCAATAACTTCAGTCCTGTCCAATTCTTTGTGACCCTATGGACTGTAGCCCACCAGGCTCCTCTGTCCATGAGATTCTCCCAGCATGCATACTAGTGTGGGTTGCCATGCTCTCCTCTAGGGGATCTGTCTGACCTACGGTTTGAACCTGCATCTCCTGCATTGCAGGCAGATTCTTTACCCACTGAGCCACCTGGGAAGCCCTGTTTATATCTTGTTATTGTTGTTCAGTTGCTGAGTTCTGTCTCACCCTTTGCTACCCCATGGACTGTAGCACACTAGGCTTTCCTGTCCTTCACCATCTCCCAGAGTTTGCTCAAACTCATGTCCATCCAGTCGGTGATGCCATCCAAGCATCTCATCCTCTGCCACCCTCTTTTCCTCCTGCCTTCAGTCTTTCCCAGCATCACAGTCTTTTCTAGTGAGTCAACTCCTCACATCAGGTAGCAAAAGTATTGGAGCTTCAGTATCAGTCCTTTCAATGAATATTAAGGGTTGATTTCCTTTAGGATTGACTGGTTTGATCTCCTTGGTTTCCAAGGGACTCTTAAGAGTCTTCTCCAGTACCACAGTGTAAAAGCATCAGTTCTTCGGTGCTCAGCCTTCTTTATGGACCAACTCACATACACACATGACTACTGGAAAAACCATAGCTTTGACAATATGGACCTTTGTCCCCAAGGTGACATCTCTGCTTTTTAATAATGCTATCTAGGTTTTCTATAGCTTTTCTTCCAAGGAGCAAACGTGTTTAAATTTCAAGCCTGCAGCCACCATCTACAGTGTTTTTGGAGCCCAAGAAAGTAAAATCTGATACTGTTTCCATTTTTCCCCATCTATTTGCCATGAAGTGATGGGACTGGATGCCATGATCTTAGTTTTTTGAATGTTGCGTTTTAAGCCAACTTTTTCACTCTCCTCTTGTTCCTCTCCTCATCAAGAGGCTCTTTAGTTCTTCACTTTGTGTCGTTAGGGTGGTGTCATCTGCATATCTGAGGTTGTTCTTATTTCTCCCAGCAATCTTGATTGCAGCTTGTGATTCATCCACAAGTTGGATGGATATGGTTATACCTTACTAGGCAGCAGTTGAAGATCGAAGTGGTAACAGAATAGCTTCTAATACCAAATGTAGGAGGTGGAAATAGAGACGAGACTCAGGGAGGCAGTTAGGGGTGCCTTACAGGGAATGTTGCCCAGAAGGGCTCAGCAGGGCAGTACTCGGAGCAGCAGCACTGGCAGCCTTTTCTGTGTTTTTGGCTGCCTGTCCTCTCCACATGCTAGCGTCTTGCTCCTTGCTGACCTTCAGCTTCAATGTTATTTCCTCCGAGAGGCCTTCTCTGATCACTCTTGGTGGTCAGAAGGTATGGTATTAAGTGTGTAGCAGCCCTTGAATAAAGTTAGTCACAAAAAGAAGAGAAAAGATGATGACTTGGAAATGAGTAGCACATGCATATGCCAGTTAGTAGGCAGAGGATAGACTGGAGGTAAATAGGGTGGTACCTGGGGCAGGGGGTGGTAATTGATGAGGAAAGGTCATGCAGGAGGGGAGGGATAAGAATAAGCTCCTCTGAAAGTGTGTTGCTCATAAGGAGGAGGATGGAGTTGTCTTTGAGACCAGGAAGGAAGACTAAATAAATGAGATACTGAAAACATGTAGGAGTGGAGGGGATGTGAAGTGATTGATCTCTGGAAATCAGCCCAGATGAATGATGTCTCAGAACAGTTTGGGGCACCCTTGTTAGTTGATTCCACAGAATCTAAGGCAGCCAGAGGTAGATGAGAGGATTGCTGAAGAAATGAAAGGATTCTTTGAAGTAAGATGAATTTGTAGAGGATGACGTCATCATAGAGTAGGGGGATGTGGCCACCCAGAGGGGACCTAACACAGGATCATGGTTTGTCCTGGCACATGACCAGCCTTACTGAGACACAGGTGACAGCCAACAACACTGCAAGTTGAAGGGGTGCAGCAGGCTGATAGCTTCATGGAATGATGACCATGGTATGTGCAGTGAGCATCCATCACCTCATAGAGATAAAAAATCAAAGGAATAGAAAAAATTTTTTTAATTGAGATGAAAACGCTTACAATTTATTAGTCTTATCAACTTTAATTATATTTGTTATGTTGTCCATGACACCCCTACTACTCATTTATCTTATAAAGGGAAGCTTAACACTTTCTGATTTTCTTCATCCAATCCCCCACCACCTTTATAACCACAAGTCTGACCTCTTTTTCTATAAATTTGTTTGATTTTGGAGTATAATTGACCTACAAGACTTAGTCCCTGTTTAACGACACAGTGATTCTGTATTTCTCTACATTTCAAATTCAAAGTCACCAGGATAAGTCTAGCTACATTATGTCACTACACAAAGGTATTACATAGTTACTGTGTTTCCCACACCATACGTTTCACACACATGACCCATTTATTTTGCAACTGGAAGTTTGTACCTCTTGGTTTCTCTCTTCTGTTTCTCTCCTCCTCTGGCAACCACCTGTTTCTTCTCTGTATCTCTAACTAGCCATCTCTATCTTGTTAGGTTTGTTCATCTGTTTTTTAGATTCCACGTATTATTTTACTTAACATAATGCCCTCCAGGTCCATTCATGTTGTTGCAAATGGCACAACATTATTCTTTTTCATGGCTGAATAGTATTCGTGTGTGTGTGTGTGTATCAAATCTTCTTTATCAATTAATCTATTGATGGACACTTGCATTGCCTCTGTTTCTTAGATATTGTAAATAATGTTGCAGTGAACATAGGAGTGCAAACGTCTTCTCTCTCTTCTTAATTTTTTTTGGCCTTGTGGCATGTAGGATCTTAGTTACCCGGCCAGGGATTGAACTTGAGCCTCCTGGTGTGGAAGGTGAGCCCTAACCATTGGACCACCAGGGCATTCCCATAAACGTCTTTTCTGTTTAGTGCTTTTGTTTTCTTTGGATAAATAGGAGTGGAATTTGCTGGATCATATGGTAGTTCTTTTTTTAATTTTTTGAGATGGGTTTAGGCTATTTTCCATAGTGGCTGCACCAGTTTACATTCCCACTAGCAGAGCATGAGTATTTCCCTTTTCTCCACATTCAGCACTTGTCCCTCATCAATGCTTGTCATTTGCCCTTGTTTTTTTAATAATTGCTATTCTAACAAGTGGGAGGTGATATCTCATTGTGGTTTTGATTGGCATTTCCCTGAATGCTAGTAATGTTGAGCATGTTTTTGTGTGCCTGTTAGCCATCTGTATGTCTTCTTTGGAAAGATGTCTATTCAGATCCTTTGCCCAGTTTTCAATCAAGTTATTGATTTATGTATTTGTTGATACTGAGTTTTGTTAAGTTCTTGGTATATTTTGGATATTAACCCCTTATGGGTAATGTCATTTGCAAATATCTTCTCCCATTTTGTCAGCAGCCTTTTCGTTTTGATGATTGTTAACTTCACTGTGTAAAAGCTTTTTAGTTGGATGTAGTTCCATTTGTTTATTTTTGTTTTTCTTTCCCTTGCCTGAGGAGGCAGATCCGTGTACTGCCTGTGTTTTCTTCTAGGAGTTTTATGAGTTCAGATCTTACATTTAAATCTTACATCCATTTTTAGTTTATTTTTTGTGTGTGGTGTGAAAGAGTAGTCCGGTGGAATTCTTGTACATGTAGCTGTCCTGTTTTCCCAGCACCATTTATTGAGGAGGCTATATATTCTTGCCTCCTTTGTCAAGGATGAATTACCCGTCTTAAGTCTGGATTCATCTTCCGGGGCTTCCTGTTCTGTTCTAGTGATTTATGTGTCTGTTTTGGTGCTAATACCATGCTGTTTTGATGGCTGTAACCATGTAGTGTAGTTTGAGATCTGGACACATGTTGCCTCCAGCTTTATTCTTCATTTTCAGAATGTTTTCTGGGTTGGTTTGTTTGTTTTTCTATTCAGTCTTTTGTTTTTCCATACACATTTTAGAGTTACTTGTTCTGTGGAAAATGCCACTGGTATTTTGAGAGGGATTGTACTGAATATGTAGATTGCTTTGGGTGGTGTGGTTAATTCTTCCAGCCCATGAACTTGATGTAGCTTTCCATCTTTGCCTCTTGTCTTCAGTTTCTTGCATCTGTGTCTTTCTATTTTCTAAATATAGGTCTTTTATCTCCTTAGATTGTCTCCCAGGAATTTTATTTTCTGATGTAATTTATAAATGGGATTGTTTTCTTAATTTCTCTTTCTGATAGTTTGTTGTTAGTGTATAGCAATGCAACAGATTTCTGTATATTAGTTTTTTATTCTGCAACTTTGCTGAACTTATCAATGAGCTCTGGTAGTTTATTGGTAGTGTCTTTAGGATTTTCTTCATGGTATCATGTCATCCTCACACATCAACAGTTGTCCTTCTTCCTTTCCAGTTTGGATTTCTTTTTCTTGTCTGATTACTGGAGCTAGGACTTCCAAGAGTACTTTGAGTGAAAGGGTGACAGTGGGGATCCTTGTCTTAGAGAAAGTGCTCTCAGCTTTACACCACTTGGTGTGATGTTAGCTGTGAGCTCATATATGACCTTTTTCATGTGAGCTATATTTCCTCTGTATGCACTTAGTTGAGTTTTTTTTTTTTTTTAGTCATACATGGATGTCAGATTTTATTAAAAAGCTCCGTGGCCAGGGGTCCTGGTGTCTGCCTGCTGGTGGTGGGTAGAACTGGGTGGATGGCTGTGTGGCCAGGGGTCCTGGTGTTGGCCTGCTGGTGGATGGATTCAGGGTCCTCTGTGTCCAGGACTAGTGCCCAGGGTAGGCAGGCTGGTCCTGGGGTCTCTGGCCACAGGGCCCTGGGAGTACAGGGGCTGGTGCTGGCCTTCTGAGGCAGCTAGGTCCTGACTCAGCTGGCTTAGGGCGGTGGGGTCCTGGGGCTGGAGAAAATAATTTAAATACCCAAGCCTGACACCTTGTCAAACTTGGTAAGAAGGCTGTTGAAACTAGGAGGGAGTTGATGGACTTAGGAGAACAGGAGGGCATAGAGGAGTCAGAAAGAAGATGGACAGGTAAGAATTTTAGTAGATGATGGTGTCAGAAGTAGAAGACAAGGAGTGTTCCCCAAGGAGATCTTGCAGGTCTCTGATGAGAGCAAGTACACAGTGTGGGGAGACAGGGTGCAGGCCAGGGAGTAGGCGGTCCCTTTGTGAGCAGACAGTGCATATAGGCCTTGATCTTCCGGAAAGTGAGGGAAAGAAATGGACAGGAAAACTTAATCAGCACCAGAGCCAGCCAGGAAAAAAAGGCAAAAGACGTTCATACCTGGACCAGAAGTTACACATTTTGGATAGAGAATCTGAGAGCAGTTTATATTGATAAAGTATCATGAAGTTACTAGGTCCTGCATACTCGTCCAGAGTTAGTGCAGAGGTGCAGTGAATTTGCCTCTTAGAGCTCCCACAGGACACTTGTGGTCCGTGGTACTGATGGATTCTGAAGCTTGTAAGGAACGGAGTTGGGCCTGCAGTGGTTTGGTGGCTCTGCAGGATGCTCAGTGGTGTTCAGAGTACAGCAATCCCACCTTTATTCAGACCACTGGCAGTTACTAGTTCCCCTTTAAGCTCGTGATTATTACATGTAGAAGATGTTCTGAATTAAGTAAAAACTTTATTAGCCCTCGATTTCAATGTGCTTCGTAACCAGATCTTTTACCAGTAAAGCAGGAAAGATAACCAGTATGGAAATGTGTTTCTTAGTAATTGGTTTTATTTATCTATTATGTCTGTTATTCATAATTAATATGAGACCAGAAAAATGTGATTTTCCTCTCCGAAGAACTGAAGGTACATCCATCAACTCATACCATCCCCTTTCTTATTTGTAGACCATTCGAAGGAAGAAGAAAGTTCAGATCCCAGTAAGTCGTCCTGATCCTGAACCTGTGTCTGAGAACGAAGAGGACAGTTATGACGAGGAGGCGCACGACCCGAGAAGTGGCCGTGGGGCCCTGGCAAACAGGAGGAGCGAGAAGAGCTGGGGCCGAGATAGGAGTGCCAGTCGGGAGAGGAGTCTGTCCCCCCGGTCAGACAGGCGGTCTGTGGCCTCCAGTCAGCCTGCCAGACCCACCAAAGTCACCCTGGTGAAGTCCCGGAAGAATGAAGGTATTTCTGCCAACTTAGTATTTTCACATGAGAATTTTAAGACTGATTTTAATGAGAAGTAAATTTGCTGTCTCTTGACATCTTTGCTCTGTTGTCTTTTGTTACCTTTGTTCTTGTGTCCTTTTGCTTAAAAGTACATCCTGTTACTGCAGGCCTCGGGTCGTCGGTTTCCTCTACTTTTTTGTTGTAGCGGATAACGTGTCCATTAGGAGTGTTAGGTTAGCTCTGTGAGTAGGAGGTGTCCTATGTCCCTGCATTGGTTGCAGCACAGTGTTGACTTTGTGGTCAGGCTCGGGTTGGGCTGCATCCGCATCCAGGAAGAGAGCACTGGGTGGGGAGGGAGGGCAGCTTGCTGCCCCAGATGGAAAGCTGGGATGCTGCTCTAAAGAAAGGACACAGTTGTCAGAACTCTGTGGCTGCAGCCTAGCTGCCTGCCCTCAGGTAGTCACAGTCCATACCGGATGAGTCCAGTGGTGGCCTCGCAGCACTGCTGTGGGTGTGTCTCTCCCACACAGGAAAGCACCAGTGATGACGGCTTTGATGAAAAGGTGCAATAGTCTCTCCAGCTTGGCTTTCATTTGCTTTCCTGAAACCTGACGAATCCCCTACTCACGGCTCCCGCCCCCTTGTCCACGGGCCTCCTTAGTCAGACGGTCTGTGTTCAGAAGTGCTGCTTCTCGTTCACCACCCACGCTTCAGCCCCCTCTCTGTACCTGCTCCCAGAACTAGTCACCACCCCCACACTTCAGTATCTGGTGGGTGCTCTGGTATCTGCTCCTGGAACTGGTCACACTGAATCTGGTAGGAATTTCCAGTTTGTATCTTGTCTTTTCAGCACCATTTCACAATTCACCACTCCATTTTCTCATGTTTTCTCTTGGCTTCTGCAATGCTGCGTGTGTCAGGGCTTCCCCCACCTTCTATATCCTTGGCAAGCTCGTTATACTCATCCTGCCTTCCAGTGTTCTGTGAATTCTTTCCTGGGGTCTCCCTGGGGTGTTGAGGAGCTCTCATGATGGTGCAGCTTCTTCCCCATGCCTGTGTGCACCCCAGGGGCAAGGCTGGCACAGACCTACCTGTTCACTGAAGCGTCCTCTGTGGCCCTCAGACTCTGCACATCTCCAGCGAAACTCCCATGTCCCTCTTGGAATTTTTCATGTTTCTTACATAGTAGCCCATTGATTGTCCTTCTGCACCTGGTGTCTCAGGCCAGCCATGCTCATTGTGGTGTGATTACCTATGCCACCATCTCCCCTCTGCTTTCCTGTGTCTGCTGAGCGCACACCCACCCTCCTATCCTCCTCCTCCCTTCTTCACCCCCACCCCTCATCCAAGCCATCAGCACCTTCTCTTCTCCCATTGTTGCTGACGTGTGATCACCAGTATGTATTAGGTGTACGTAAAGTTGTGTATATCTGAGGTGTGCAGTGTGATGCTTGAGATGCGTACACACTAGAAAATGATCACTACTGTCAAGTTAACTGCATGGGTTTTGGCGGTGGGGTGATGGGGCTCGGTGAGGAGCACCACCCCACCCTTTCTTAACTGGACTCGCTCACCCATGTGAGATCGTCTCGGGGGCTCCTGTTGGTTCTGTTCCTTGGGTTACAGGGACTCTGGGGCGCTGCTGTGTCTGACTCTTCTACACTTCTAGGCTTCATCAAACCTGCCTTGTCTTCCTTCATGCCTTTTGCTGTGTCTGTTTTTAGCCATTCTGTCTGTGCCACTGCTCCACCATACAACCTCACTTTTCAGCTTTAGTGGCAGTGTTTCTTAGATGAAGCTTCAACTTTAGTGTCTGCTTCTCGGGGCTGAGGGGGAGGTGCCCTCTGTGCCCACCTCCCCCTCCCCGGCACAGAGTGCTGTGCTGCCCGCTCTGCGCTCCACTGAAGCTGGACTGGTGACATCCTTTCCCTGCTGCCAGAGCACGGGGCTGCCTCTTGCTTGCTGCTTGTATCTGTAGAGCCTGCCACCTTGTTCATATTTACCAGAGAAATACTTGGGATAAATGATGCTTTCATATACAGGGAATATTTCAGAGTCATCTTTGTATTGGCCATTTATAATTTTTAAATCCTAAATAAGGACAGTCTTTTAATCAACACTTTATTTCTGAGAGATATGATGACTGTTTCTGAAGCACAGAGTGGACTGTGTAGATTCTGTAAAGTCTTTTCTTTTTTTTGTCCCAGTTCTCTGTTTGTCAACACTCTTTGTATATTTACCTTAAGTTAAACTGTAACTTTGATGTAACTTCTAAAAGCTTGAGTAGCAGGTCTTAGCCCACCTTAAAAATAACACTTATTTCCCTTCTATTTTTCTTGCCCCCAGTTAGATTCCTAACACAACCAGGAGCAATCCTGTTCCTATAGACATTATACTGATTGTATATTGTTCTAATTAAAAAAAAATAGTCCATCACTCTGCAGGCCCCTGGATGGGTTTTTGGACTCTGCCGGTAATGTCTTTAGCTCTGACTGCTCCCCTGCCCACAGGTCCTGTTCCTGCTGCTGCATCCTGGGTGCTCCGCTGGCTGTTGGAAGGACCGGCATCCTTAACTGCTCCCCTCTCCACTCAGCTCCTTCCAGGCCCGAGTTCTAGTGGCTCGTGCTGATGTTCTGCGTATGCCTCTCAGAGTTGGATGGGTTTAGGACCCAAAATCCTCTTCTGTAAGAACTGGGGGAAACAAAAATAGTATACACATGGTAATACAAGTCATCACTAAAATCAATGAGCTTCCCAGGGTATTTGTTTTCAGAATTGTTGTCATTAAACCTAAGAACCTGGTGCATCAGCCTGACAGGTCAGAGGGGATGGTCTTCTCTTCATAGTCCTCTCTCTCTGCACAGTGAGGGCATGAGTGTCAGTCTGCTGTTGGACCACGGACTTGCCCTGTGCTTTCACACTGATGGTGACAACTAATGATGACATGAGGAGATGTCTTCTTTGCAGGAAGGCCAAGGATAACTTACTGCTTGTACTTAAAAACTTGCTTTGTGCGGTGATTATTCGTTTCATACTTTTAAACTCTATTTAAGTGTCTTGGGATTTTACACTAAATATATTTAAATATATTATTTCAGAATATGGTCTTCGATTGGCCAGCCATATATTTGTGAAGGAAATTTCACAAGATAGTTTGGCAGCAAGAGATGGCAATATTCAAGAAGGTGATGTTGTATTGAAGGTATAGTCATGTTCTTAACATTTTGATGAACTACAATAGAAAACAAGTTCTAGTGTGCCCACATAGCTCCTTTTCATATTTGAGTGGATTTTTCCAGCAAGAATTAGAAATCAGTATCTGGGGGACTGTATAACCTGCCATGACTATTACTCCATGTCAACACTGATGCTTTTCTTTGGGCATTGTGTCATCCTGGAGAATTAATAGCTCCAGACGCATATTATTCACTCACAGGAGTTACTTTGTAGACAGATTTGCCTGTTGTTCCACTTTAAGTGGTTTTGATGACTCCTCCAGATGTTACTGAAATGTCAGCTTTATTGGTTTGCTCTTAAGTCACAGAAAGTGACCAGGAAGAGGTAGAGGGTGTGATGTGGGCTCCTCTGGCAGAGCAGCCGTGTAGTGAGTGTAGTGAATGTTTATCATTTTGGGAAGGAGGAGTACTTTGATAGTTTAGGAAAGTGTAAAGGGAATATTTTAGCTCTCAGAGCAAGCCTGGGAGCAGCTGAGATATTGCTGTCCGTGTCTCACTAAGTTAATGCTTGTATTTTTGTCATTTAGCTTCAAACTACAGTTTCTTTCCTGTTGCAGATAAATGGTACCGTGACGGAAAACATGTCACTGACAGATGCAAAGACGCTGATCGAGAGGTCTAAGGGCAAGTTAAAGATGGTGGTCCAGAGAGATGAGCGCGCTACCCTGCTGAATGTCCCTGACCTTTCTGACAGCATCCACTCTGCTGACGCCTCTGAGAGGGACGGTGGGTGTGGTTCTGTTTCTAGAGACTCTCAAGGTTATCTCTTGCTTAAAGTGGGAAGGTTGGACATGTTTGAGTTTAAGTTAATGCTTAAATCCACCATTGTATGGGAAATTATATTTAGTAACTTATTTCCTTTATCATTGGAGTGTCTTATATTTTACTATAATCTTGGGAAAATAAACAGCACTCTCTTGTTTAACAGATATTTCAGAAATCCAGTCATTGGCATCAGACCATTCAGGTCGATCCCACGACCGGCCTCCCCGTCACAGCCGCTCTCGGTCTCCTGACCAGCGGTCCGAGCCTTCTGACCATTCTCGGCACTCGCCACAGCAGCCCAGCAGTGGCAGGTAATCCCTCTGTTGTATAAAGTGAGACAGTGGCGTGTGCTTGGTGCACGCTTCTGGGTTTGCTAAGAAATAAAACTAGAAGATAGATTTTCTTTTGATTACTTAAATTTGCTTTGTTTCTTTATCAGTTTATGTATTTCTTAGCTAGAATAACAGAGGTCAGTCAAACTGTTTCATAAAAGGCCAAATAGTAAATGTTTTAGATATGTGATCCAAATCTTGCCACCACTCAGCTCTGTCTTAGTGGCTCAAAACTGCTGTGGACAGTACGTAAATGAATGGGCATGGCTGTTTTCCAGTAAAACTTTATTTAAAAAAAAAACAGTTGGCTCTTGGCTACAGTTTGCTGATCCATTGCATTAGAAGATGCTAACAAGCTTTAGGACAAATTAAATGTGTGTGGTAGAAGTCTTTTAGTGGAGATGACCCTGGGCTTTTTTTTTCCCTGTAAAGTACACTCCGTGGTATTTATTTACGTCAAAGGGTCTGCCATGCTAGTATTATGTGACTTACCTGAGTTTATGGTCTGAGGGGGTCACATGCACATTTGAGAATCTGAGGGAAAAAAAAAAGATCCTTCTCTCCAGAAAGATGCACATTCACAGATACACGTAGCATTTTATGTAAGATTTCTGGACGTGCACAGGGCTCTGTTGGCCAACAGTGCACCTAGGTTTTAGCAGCAGTCCGTGTGGAGCTCTTCTTTGTGCACTTAGTCAAGTCCAGAGCTGACCAGTTTAAGATTCACCGTGATTATTTGTGACTGACTTGCATGAGGGTGGTGTTCACTTAAGCCATGGAGTCACTAAAATTGCCAAGAGAAACAAAACAGATAGAATGCCCAGAAGTGGATACAGGGAGTGTTTCCCAAGGACGCTGAGGAAGCAAATGAGAAGTACCTTTCGGAAGAGAGCTTTCCTGAAGACTGTCAGAAATCACCCTGACACAGTTGTTGGACACTGCTGATTTTAGCTATTTGTAAAGCTGATTCTCTCTGAATTTCAGATTTTAGATTTATAAATTGTATTAACCCTGGTCTTTGTAATTAACATTATAATGATTTTTTTAAGGAATATTATAGTATTTCACATGCAAAACTGACTAATAACTGATTACTAGTTTTAACTGCTATACATTAACATCTTAATTCTGAAAATCTTGCTGACACAGCACATTCCTTACCTGGAAAAGGACAGCTGCCCGCAGCACATACACAGCAATAGAACTGACACCCAGATGAGTCATGGGGTGTGGTGCAGGCCTAACACAGTTCTCTCCCCTAGAAGCCAGGCTGGCAGCAAGCCATTTGGACATGATTTTCCTTTAAAAAGAAAGAAATACTCATCAAAATTTTGGCCATTTGTATCTGTTGTAACCAAATTTTAAACTTTAGATAGGTCTTTTTAATACCTACATTTTTCATTTAGATTTCCTAAATATTCGGCATCTGTAACTTTAAATGTTGAAGAGGGTTTAAAACTTTTTTTTTAGGTATCTTCCTATTATATTGGAGTGTTTTACTTCTCTTGGGAGCCTCAAGTATTCTTTATAGGTGACACCAGTTATATTAGATCTTTGAAAATATAGAATCTTGGGCCTGCTTCTGAGTTCATCTGGGATGGAGCCAGGAATAATACTTTAAGTTTCTAATATAATAGCATTCTCTTCTGCATGTTACCACATAGTCGATCCTAAGGAGACGATGGTACTTCGGCTACAGAAGACAAAAAGTCTGCAGATTTATTTCCATATGTTTGTGCTGATATATAATTCCTGAAAATTTAAGTAGCCTACCTAAAGGCAGGATGAAAAATAGTACCAGTTGCTTAAAGATTTTATTTTCTCCATAAAGTTACTATTAAAACCCAGACAACTATGCAGTTTTAATTTAGAGGGTCCTTGCATTTTGAGAAACACTTTAGATATCAGTTCAGTATCAGTTCAGTCACTCAGTCATGTCTGACTCTTTGTGACCCCATGGGCTGCAGCACTCCAGGCTTCCCTGTCCATCACCAACTCCCAGAGTTTGCTCAGACTCATGTCCATTGGTCAGTGATGCCATCCAGCCATCTCATCCTATGTCGGCCCCTTCTCCTCCTGCCTTCAATCTTTCCTAGCATCTTTTTCAATGAGTCTGTTCTTGGAATCTGGTCGCCAAAGTATTGGGAGTTTCAGCTTCAGCATCAGTCCTTCTGATGAAGATTCATGACTTATTTCCTTTAGGATGGACTGGTTGGATTTCCTTGCAGTCCAAGGGACTCTCAAGAGTCTTCTCCAATACCACAGTTGAAAGGCATCATTTCTTCGGTGCTCAGCTTTCTTTATAGTCCGGCTCTCACATCCATACACGACTATTGGATAAACCATAGCTTTGACTAGACGAACCTTTGTTGGCAAAGTAATGTCTCTGCATTTTAATAGCTGTCTAGGTTGGTCATAACTTTCCTTCCAAGGAGCAAGCATCTTTTAATTTCATGGCTGCAGCCACCATCTGCAGTGATTTTGGAGCCCCCCAAAATAAAGTCTGTCACTGTTTCCATTGTTTCTCCATCTATTTGCCATGAAGTGATGGGACCAATGCCGTGATCTTAGTTTTCTGAATGTTGAGTTTTAAGCCAACTTTTTCATTCTCCTCTTTGACTTTTCATCAAGAGGCTCTTTAGTTCCTCTTTGCTTTCTGACATAATGGTGGTGTCATCTGCATATATGAGATTATTGATGTCTCTCCTGGCCGTCTTGATTCCAGCATGTGTTTCATCCTGCTTTAGATATAGTAGGAGAGTAAAATCCTAGTATAAAAAACACCATGAATCATTTTCCTTGTGTTGTTTGTTTGAACAGATGCTTTTGTTTTACAGATGTTATAATTCTGTGGTTTAAAAAGTGATACAAGAAGACAAGTGAAAAAAGTTTCAGATTAGTGTGTAAAAACACTACTGCCCCTCCCTGGATTTCTGAATATCTGTGTGTGTGTAAGACTGCAGTTATCTACCGAGAATAGTAACCTTCATTTTGTCAGAAATGGAGTAACCTGTTGTCAGAAGCAACAGAATACAGTCATCTCTTTGGACTTTGAAGCCAGTTTTCCTGGGTTTGAGCCCCTGCCTGTCATTGGTTACTTGCACAACCTTGAATCCCTCTCTGAGCTTTAGTTTCCTTATTTGATACAAAGAAGGCATCAAACACCACGAAGTTGTGAAAGGTGATTATAACACCTGGAGCAGACACTAGCAGCTTCCTTTATTACAGTGATTAGTAGTAGGAACAGTTCATGCTGTAGACTGTCCACATGTGCTCACATTGACCACTTCTAAGAAGACTTCCTCATTCTGTAGGCTGGTCAGTTTAAGGATAAAGTCCACGGTTATGTTGTTGACAAGAGATTAAGTCCTCTTGGCCTTTTGACTCAAGTGTTTGCCCTTCCTGGAGTAGAGAAAGAAGGGGAAGGTTACTCAAGGGAACAGAAACCGTCAGAGCCTTCCCTTGTTGTGACCTACGTAGGTTCCTCTACGTGATGTTCTTTTCTTAGAGAACTGAGTTCTGAGCACAACACACGTGCTCACTTCTTCCTTACAATCAGATGAACAGTGTACCCTTATTGTTGTCTTGAACAGCAGCTGCCAAACTGCAGCTTGTGGGCCAGATCCAGCCTGCTGCCTGGTTTTGCAAATAAAGTTTTATTGGAATCCATCCTACAGTATCATAATTACAAAAAGTTGGCAGAGAGTGCCTGGCCCACGGAGCCATTTACAGAAAAAGTCTGCCAGTCCCTCCCTGGTCTAGGATGTTAAAATAGTTTTGTTTGTAAATTAAAAAATAATATGTGTGTAGAGAGAATTATTACAGTGATTTTTTAAAATCATTTGATGCTTGTTGCTAGGTTTGTTCTGTATATTTTATTCAGTGTCGTTCCACTGCCTGCTCTGGACTGAGACTCTGCTCAGGATGGAGCTGGGAGTCCTCACTGGGGCACTGCCTCGTGCTGATTGACAGGACTGTCAGTAAGGGGACTCGTCACTATAGAGTATTTGAGGTGCAGAGTGAGTTCCAAGCCTCTGCCTAGCTATACTGCACTCTCCCTAGTCGTTAGTTACTTAACAGGCTCATTTTGTGAGTTTTCTCTGTAGAGGAGCAACATACGTTTACGCTGTGGTTCTGTTCTATAAACTGTTTTAATGTGACTCTTGTGCTACTGATTTATCATAAGCAGGTACACTGTTGAAAAACTATTGCAATAAAAGCTCAAACTAATTAGGATATGGTTCATATGTAGAAAATTTGAATTGTAAAGGTTATATTTTGTATTACTTAGTCATTTCTTCTATACATATGCATATATGGAAAGAAGGCTTCTCTCTGGTCACCTTGTCTTCAGGGGAGCCAGTGAGAAGGAGCCACAGTGGAGGACGGGTCCAGAGTAAGGTAGAGAGGACAGCTCTCAGCTTGTTGGGAGAACAGCATGGCAGCTAATGGGGTGGACCACAGAAGCGGAAGAGCCAGTGCTTTGGAGTTCTTGGAAATTTTTCTTTTTTCTGGTTTTCGAAAATTGGTTGGGGAGAATGTGAAACTTTAAAACAGTTGTTTCTAAGTTGAATTGTTACTGAAGGTTTTTTTGGTAAGATTCTTTGTAATGTTGGAAAGTGAGTGGAATGTTGATGACCCATCCTGAACTTCTGTTGTTGAGGGTAAGTGCTGACTGTTATTTTCAATCCTTGGGAATTTTAGGTTACCGGATTAGAACTCCAGAGTGACCTTTTGTTTTTCATACTCTTTGTAAGGGTCCAAACTGAAGGCAGGGTCACAGTTGATAACGTTTCTCTAGTTAATGGAGACCCCCATGTAGTGATGTTGTGGATATTATGTAGTGATGGATTTTAACTTCTAAGCAGAGATTGTGGGCCCAGTGGCACTAAAGCAAGCTTAAATATTGTACTTTATTGTCACTGTTTTTAAAGTAAAAAGTATACATTCTATTTATTCCATCAGCTGGAAATTATTTT